AATTAGTCTGAACAACAGTCATACAGCTATCTTTGCAGCAAAATAAAGCAAAGTAATCAAGCCAAGAACATGTCACAAGAGAACCTGATTACCACCAGTCCTTGGTTAAGCCCTAGAAGCACAGTCTGTGATGAAATAACTATGGCAACAGTACTTCAAGGCACCCAAAGCCCACCACATTTTTGCTGAAAAATTATTCTCCATCTGGGCAAACACAAAAATGCATGCTGACAATCAGTTATGTAACTTCAATACAATAACCCAGGGATATTTTAAGCTCCCATCATGCTAAAAATCCTAATTGTTAAGCATCAACGCTTAACATTCAAAGCATTAAGGATAGACCGGAGATGTGGTCCAAGTGGTAGAGCACCTGCTTTGCAAGAGTGAAGTCTTGAGTTCAAACTCCAGTTCCACCAATAAATAAATAAAAAATAAAAAAACAGGATGTATGCTAAGATAGGAAAGAAGATACATTTAAATGTAAATGCAAAGTGGATGAAACTATCACTTTTTACCAGGGAGATTCACCTTGTGATTCTTTTAAATGTTAAGTTTCATTTAACCCAAGCATAAAGGAAAAACCCTTTTTGCCAAATTCATTTTACCAGCACCTCTAGCAACATACTTTGACTACAGCAAACTCCCTAGTGCCTGTACAAAGGCTAGGAACAAAGGCATCTGAGTCAGACCCTTTGTTTTCTAGCTGGGGACCTTGGCCAAGTTTCTTTACCTCTTAAGTTTCAGTTCTCTATACAGAGACACCACCTTAAAGCCTATAACACACTGCCTTAGCACTTAGCACTGAGTGCTCACTGTTACCAAATTGAATTGTAGGAAGTTTAATAGCCACAAAGATTTTTGGCTGAACTAAAGTCTTAAGAAGTTATTCATTTAGACTATTTTAAAGTTCAGTAAAACTGTAACAAAAGCTTTTATATTCACATCTTTGTATGACTGAAGTTTTGCCTTTCACTTCAGAAATCTTTGGGTAGTCCAGGCCTGGAAACTGATTATCTTAAATGGTAATATGTTCTTGTTACTTTAAATAACTAGAATTTAAAAAAAATCTTTAGTCTTTGATGCTCTATTTTCTTAGTTAGGCTGCAAAAAGTGAAACTTATCAAGTAACTGAATTACTAACAATAAGAGCAAACAATCACTGAGCTCTTACTATTCATTCTATCATACAAAGATCTTTGGGTAATAAGTTTACCAAAAGGCTGTCAAAACAAGATCAGGTTGCCTAAACCTTTGATGGGGCCAATATGAATGTCAGAGACCTTCATGAAAGTATCTGCTATAAATCAACTACAGGACAACTACAAACACCTGGGAATCATGAGGTCCAACTAATTTTACAGATGAGAAACTGAGGCTCAAAGAGTTTAAGCCCAAAGGTCACAGTTACTAATAATAAGTGAGGACCACAATCAAAATCTCCCTATTTCCTGCTCAGTATTTTGTGAACTATATAATGCTGATGGTTTAAAAAAAGAAAGACCTATTCTGAACCTCAAAATGTTTCTACATAGTTGGGAAGAAAATTCATTCACTTAAACACCTAAATAAGTGTTTTTTAATGAAAGCTAAATATTGGTCATAAATCAATGTTAACTCGTATCCTAAGTGAATATGCTGAAAGGGCTCTAGGACAGAATTGAGTGAGACCAGTTATACAGTTACATTACCAAAACATGACCACCAGAGTGCCTTATAAATAAAACACTTCAAAGCTACAGGTCTTCCTTGACTCAATTCAGCATTTTTTTTTTTTCTTTCCGGAACTAGGGTTTGAACTAAGGGCCTACACCTTCAGTCACTCCACTAGCCCTTTTTGTGATGGGTTTTTTCAAGATAGGGTCTTGCAAACTCTGCCCAGGCTGGCTTCGAACCTTGATCCTTCTGACCTCGCCCCCCTGAGTAGCTAGGATTACAGGAGTGAGTTACAGGTACAAGCCACCGGCACCCAGCTCAAGTTAGCATTCTTTTGGAAAGAAAAAAGTATACTTAGTCCCACTTCCCAAATATGTCTCATCTCTTCCCAAAATTTTACCAACTTCTAAAGTCCACTATCATCCAAAAAAAAATGATGCTGAATCTAGGAAGATTTCATCCTTTCCATGCTCTGAATCAGGCACTCCATTTTTATTAAAATTTCCATTTCTAGGGCTATGGATACAGTTCAGTGTTTTGGCACTTGCCCAGTATGGAAGAGGCCCTGGTTCAATCCCCAACACACACACAACAAAAAACAAAAAACAAACTCTTATTTCTATCAAAGTTGTGTAGGCAAAGGCCCAGATCTTAGGAACTGACTGAAGAGTATTTTAAACAGTCCTTTTTTCTTTGGGCAAACATTTTTAAAGTAACATCCAATGATAAAAAAGGTGACCACAGATACCAGAATGCAATACTGAGAAAATTTTCATAAGGGAAAATTCCAAAATATAATTCTGTTTAAAAGTAGAAAGCCATGGAACTTTGTTGAACAAGCAAACCAGAAGACTTTTACAAAGACTTTATTGTGTCAGACGAGAACTTGGACAGATATTTTCATTTATTTCCAACGGCTGAGACCCAGTGCTACACTGAACCACTTGATCAACTAAAAGTTACCATACAGTGTGTACATACAGATACTACACACTGCTAATTTTCAAATAAATAACTATATTCTAAATGTGTACTGTTCAACATGGTAGCCATTATCTACATGGAACCTGGAGCACTTGAAATGTGTTAATCTGAACTGAGGTGTGCTATACATGTACAATTTCGCTGGATTCACACCAGATTTCAAAGAATACATTTCTATCACACAGAGCTGCTTTATACAAGTGGCAAAATATGATCCTATCTTCCTTTGATGATTCATCATGAGGACAAACACCAAATTACAATAAAGCCCAAAAAATCTCATTGACATTTTGGATACACAGTTTAAGATATTATAAAGTAAGAAGTATTTAAACTTCTATTAAAATTACAACCACCTCCAACTGTGCTATGAGAGGAAGGACTCAATTCTACCACTAGTATTTTTAGGGATCAAAAAGGAAATACAAAAGTAATAGCCATAAAAGAGTGATTAAGAGAAATACCACCTGTTTCTAGAAGTCATTTTAAAACAAAAAAAAGTTTTAAACAGTTGATAACAGAGCTTTAAAAAGAAAGCACTAATTTGATTATTTTGAGTAATTTGGGTAAACAAACTTCATAAAAACAAAGCCTATTAAGGAAGACTGGAAATTCTAACCTCGTGGAATAGAAGTAAAAATATCTGAATTACCATATGGAAAATGTAGCCAAGTTTCTTAGCAGGGTATTTATAATTAAACACTATACAATGATAAAACCTGCCAAACTTTTGATAAATATCCCTCAATATTACTATAGTATGAGTGCACTGATCACAGGATTTAACCAAAGCTGCTTTCAAAATTCCAAAATATCACAAACGTCTTTTCAAAATCTAGCCAGTGAGAATTAGGGAGGAAACAGTTTTCAAATAATTTATCTTGTAGAGATTTAAATTAGAAATTGAAAGTTCAAAGCCATATTAACAATAAATATTTGTATGGCATTATGTTTGACAAACACTTTTGGACACATCATCCTATTTGATCTTCAGGACAGCTCTCAGATGTTGGCTCGTTTTTAATCCCTACTTTAGAGGTAATTCCAGGCTCAAAGACCTTGACTTGTTCAAGGTCACATAGCTAAAAAGTACGAACTACTCTATGACCCCAGATCTTCTGTTGCGCAACCAATTCTCTATTACAAGACAATCATTCATCTAAAACCATGTTTAGAATCCTTACAAGATTAATGCCAAAGAAGGATCTACGGAGCAACTAGGTCAAACTGTAAAACTCCAAAAACAGCAGAGATTGGAATCAAAAAAGACAGCAGAGACTATCAAGAATCAGGAAATTACTTGAAAAAGAGTGGGGGGTTTAGAGAAAATCTAAATGTCCTTGGGTGCAGCATAGCAGAACAGTATTAAAGTAAAAAAAAAAAAAAAAGCAAAGAAAGTGTACTTTCTGAAATGTGATTTTTCAATGTAGTAGCTCTAGACTGAAAAATGTTGTCACTTTACTATAAATGAAAATTTTACTTAATAGGCACTCAGAAAAACGAATACGTCCAACTGAATCCAACCAGTCCCACATTTTTTTCATAAGTCATAACGTTTTCTTCGCGAAAACCAAATTTTAAAAAAGGAGAATTCAGCATCCAAAGCTACTCGGACCACAGGTAGAGAAATAAGGCCGGAGGAGTGCGGCATCCCCAAGGGCCAATGTCTTTCCTGCCGAAACCATCTTGGAGGGCAGGACAAAGGCGCCAGCAGCACTAACGACCCCGCTCAACCTCAGGACACAGGGACGACACACCATTTGTAGCAAAAGGTACCGATGGGGAAGACTCGAGACAGGGGTTTCCTAAGATGGCTCTCTGCATCCGTGCACAAAGTGCAGTCCTCAGTACAATCCAGTTCCAAAATCAGCGAGGGGAAATGTGGGTTCCGAGCGTGGGAACACCACACGGGGGTGCCCTCGCCGCCGGCTCCGAAGGCGCCCCTAGGAAATCGAGGCAGGATCGCAGATGCGCCGCGAGACCTCCCACGGTCTCGCCGCTCGCCGGCACGGGCCAAGCTGACCACTACCTCCTAATTCGTCCCGGGTTTTCTCTCCCCGGCCAGCCCCGCGGGGACTCGGCAGGCCCTCCCGACCTTGAAACCCCGGCCACCGTCCCTATCCTCCGACCCCTGTCTCCCGGACTCCCGGCCCTCGGACCCAGCTCCGGAGCCCGCCCCAGCCTGCGCTGACAGCCCGGCACCGCCCCCACCTGCTCGCCCGGGGCCCGCGAGGCCCGGCGCGCCCGCCAGGCCACTTCCTTCCCCGCCCGCACGGCCTCGCACGGGCCCGCGGGGGCGGAGAGCCGCGGGGGAAGGAGGCGCGGCCCGTGGAGGAAGCGCCGCCGTCGCCCGCACCCACCGGCATCATCTTGGCTCGGTCCGCGGCGGACCCTCCGTCGCCTGACAGGACGCTGGCGCTGAGCCCGTCGCTCCGGCCGCCTCACAGGCCGCGCGCTCGCCGCTGCGCTCTTCGGTCCGGCCTTGGTGAGGCGGCGGCTGCGGCCGGCTGCGGAGGTCTAGTCCGCCCTGTCGCGCCGCGGGCGGGCGTGCTGCGTCGCCGTCCCGGACCGGCAGCCGCCGCCGCCTCCGCCGAAGCCGGCCGCCTCCCGCCGCCCGCCGGGCTCGCCCCGCAGGCTGCACAGGCCCCGCCCCACGCGTCGCCCCCCGCCGACCTGCGCCGTCTCTGATAGGCCGAGTCGCATATGGGGCGGGGCTGTGGGCGGGGCTTCCCCGGCAGCGGCCAGGTGCGAGCGCGCTCGTGCGCGTCCGCGCTCCAGGCGGCGGGGGAGGGGTGCGCGCTGCGCACCACGGGCTCTCGCCCCCATCCCCACGAGGAGTTGCAGGGAGAGTGAGGTAGCTACGGGATCCTGAGCCCAATCTCTGAGAGACCACGACACCTCGGACGAAAAGAAGACGGAGGCCCAGAGAGGGAAGGGCCGGCCTGGTCCAGCAGCGAACCCGCAACAGGCTTGGACTCGAATCGCAGGCCTGGAGGTGGAGGGCGGATAGTAGGACACGCGGCTGTAAAGTGACCGCTGCCTGACACCGGGGTTCCCAGCGCACTTTGGGCCGTGCATCGGAGGCTGGGGGGAGGGGTACGGGGTGCCCCTTACGTATCCACGTGATCCGGATCCGCATTGCTCAGGGTAAACCCAGGAACAGGCTTAGCACCCACAGCTTCTGGGCCCTTGATCTCCCGCCCAGCGTCCTTGGCGGCCTGCTTGGGCCACGGCGGCCTTACTGTACACATGCCGGCTCTCAGCCTTGGCCCTTCACGCGAGCGATCTCCCGCTTAGAAGGCCTGTGCCCACCTGTGCCAACATCCTTCGAGGTCTGGTTCGAACGTCCCAAGGCAGGGTCCAGTCCCCATCATGAGGGTCCAGGTCACTCCTTACAGCCCTGTCTTCTGTGTCACCTCGCCCTCCAGCCTGGGAGCCTGAGTGCCACACACCAGGGCAGGTCCCCGGGCAGACTCTCAGGAAAGGCTGCCAAGTGGGAAGGCACCCTTTCTGAGCGCTCCACATTTTTCCATTTGCCTGATCCCTGATAGAAGGTACCGAGTGGCTGATGGACTGCCCTCCGCAGCACTTAAACTTCCATGAGCATCCAGAACATGGAGGCCTATGAATGGCCCCAAACACCGAAGGAAGAAAGCACCTTGGGAAGTGCCCAGCCACTTGAGAGAGCAGCAGGTTTTGGTCAAGGGCAGGTAACCTGTCTGGTTCTCAGAGAAGCTGGAGGCTTCTAAGTGGGGGCAGATAGAAGGAGGAGACCAGGGAGTTACCACCAGCCCCCTTCGTGGGGAGCCACACCTGTGCTTTGGAGGCCATGGGGGTTAGTGGTTGACAGCGTGGACTTTCCAGTTGGACAGACTTGGTTCGGCACCACCTCTGTCACACCCTCACTGTGTGATCTTAGGCAAGTCACATCACTCTGTATCTCAGATGCTAGTCTTTGTAAGAGGAGATGGTAGGGATAATAATGCCTGCCTCTGAGGCTGCTCAGATGTGATGTATGAAAAGCTCTTCGCACAATCTGGCATTTGATACCTGTCCTATCAATTGTATTCTGTAGTTATGCTATCCTTAGCAAGCAGGCTTAGCATACAAATGTCTCTGGGATTCTTAAACTTCCTCACACTGGAACATGTCTTACATCTCTTTTGAGAGCAGGACTTGGAGATAAGAGAAAGCTTAGGTAATAAGTGATTCTAGGCCTGCTATCAGGAGACCTAGGCTCCATTTCCAGCTCTGCTTCTGCCTCCCTGTGGGGCGTCAGGCAACTACACTGTTTCTCTTGGCCTCCGTTTCCCCATCTGTAACAGAAGAGTTAGATTTTGCAAACTCCAAGTGCCTTCCGACTCTGACATACTGATGTCCATGAGTTGTGAAGGGGTACCCACTAAGCCAGACACAGGCAAGCTTTTCAGGGAACTGCAGAGAGGTGCCATCTGTGGTAAGATGGTTCAAATGAGAGAAGGAAGCCTTGGCCACAAGGGTCCCATTCTTGCCTGCAGGACCTGTAGATACAAACTGGCAGCAAGGCCCTCCTTATCCTCCAGGATAGCCTGCAACCAGGTGTCCATTCAAGCCAGGCTGCCCAGTGGCTCCTTTCCAGATGGTCCTTCTTCTGCTCTCCATTCTGCAGGTCACATCACCTTGAACCTCCACCAAGGCATTCATAATTGGCCCCCCTGCTCTAACCTACACACCCCAACAATCCTACACACACTCCTGCCTTCAATCTTTTAAGCACAAACAGAACTTGGATACATAGACACATACACTCTCACCCCATAAAACTCTCAGTATCTCCCAATCACCCACACCAAAATCCACAAGAGGCCTGGCAGGAACTGTGTTGATTGAATACAGGAATTAGGGTTACGTAAGATGGCCATGTTGTTTAGAGATACATCCTAGCATATGAGAGTGGTCTGGGATGTGCTTCAAAACAATTCAGCAGAGAGATAGAGTGAGGCATGTAGGAATAGCTGAGGCATAAGTGGCAAATTCTCAGTAATTGTTGAATCTGGGTGATGTGTCTATGGGGGTACATTGCACTTCCTTGTCTGTATGTTTCAAGTATTGTACAGTATAATGATTAAACATGCTTAAATGCAAATAAAAAGTCCCTTGGGGGAGAATATCAGTATGAATTCGTATTTGCATAATGAAATTCTGGAAGGATCCACTCTCACTAATAAAGTAATGAATGCAGGTGGGAATGGGGATCTGGGTAGATAAGGGACAGAAATTAGAGTGAGGCTTCACTGTTACTGTTTATAAAATAAACTTCATTTCAAAGCAGTTTTAGATTTACAGAATAATTGTGACACTCCCCAATTTAACGATGGATAGGGATGTAACTCAATATACCTATCAAAGTCAAAAATACCTAAGTGGAAAATGCCATTATAACCCTAACATACAAGCATCCTAGCTTAGCAGCGCGCTGCATAATACCAGAGTGTTGGCTGTTTCCTCTGACAATTACATAGGTGACTCATGTTGAAACTCTCTTCTGCTGCCCAGAATTACAACAGAGCTTTGGACTGAATATTGGTACTCCAGGAAAAATACAGTTTCTACCGTGTTTTTATCACTTTAACACCACTATAAAGTCAAAAAAAATCTTAAATGGAATCATTGTAAGTTGGGGGCCTCTGTATACCTCCTCCCACCCAGTTTCTTCTCATTATTAACATCGTACATTTGTATAGTATAAATAATGAACCAATATCTAAATATTCCTATGAACTAAAGGCCATACTTTTTTTTTCAGATTTCTACTTTTTAATCTAATGACCTTTGTTCCAGGACCCCACCTCATATGTAGTCATGTGTCCCTAGGCTCGTCTTGGCTATGACAGTTTCTCAGAACATTCCTTGTTTTTTTATGACTTTGATAATTTTGAGGAGTACAGGTCAGGTGTTCTGTAGAATGTTCCTTATTAGATATACATGTTGTTTTTCTCGTGATTAGGCTGAGGTTAGAGGCATTTTGAAGGAAGACCACAGAGGTGAATCATCCTCATCACGTCATGTCAAGTGCACGTTCTGTCAACAGGAGTTATCCCTGTTGATGCTGACTTTGTCACTAGGTTTCTGTTACATTTTATGTTTGATTCTTGAATCATATGAACATTTTACTGTATTAAAACAAAACTTAAAGAACATAACACTTGTATCATTTACTAGGGCTGCTATAACAAAATGCCACAAATTGGGTGGCTTAGACAACACAGATATTTCTCAGTGTTGGAGGCTAGAAGTCTAAGAAGATGCTGGCCGTGTGGGTTCTTCAGAGGCCTCTCTCCTGGGCTTGCAGATGGCTGCCCCTTGTTGGCTCTTCCATAGTCTTTTTTTTTTTTTCTGTGTATGCATATCCCTGGTACCTCCCTCTTTTTATAGAGCACTGGTCATCTTGGATTGGGGCCCAGCCATAAGACCTCATTTTAATTTAATTTCCTCCCTACAGGCTGTATCTGGGAATGCAGTTGCTCTCTGAGATGCACTGGGGTTAGGACCTCAACATACCCATTGCTGGGGGCACAATTCAGTGCATAGCAAGATCTTTCATAGCATGGCTCCAATCTACCTCTTCAAGTTTGTCTCCAGTGCCCCCACAACAAATACCTAGATCGTGTACCCCAGCCTCTCCAAACCCTCAGCTGCCCTCTTCCAAGTCCTTGTTCATCTACCTCTCTGTGTATGAAAAAACACTCTGCCATGTTCCTTTTCTTGCCACAGTTCATATGCTTCTGCATGTTTCTCCAGATTCCCCAGGGATCTCATCTTACTGCCTCCTCCCAGACTGCTGAGCCCCAGGTCACCAGTTGCAACCTGCCCTCTTAGACCTGTCAATGTTCCCTAAGGACCAGTAGGCTAGTTCAGTTAACTAGTGTCCACTGGGTTTCTCCTATATGCTAGGCCCTGCTGACAGAATCTCTAGCAAGACAGATGACCTCCTGTCCTCACAGAGTTTGTGTTCTGGTGAGGTGAGAAGATGGTAAACAAGAACAAAAAGGTTGGCAAATGTATTAAATATGATAAAGTCAGATAGTGTGACAGCTGATTTTGCAGGTACAAAGTTTGAGTTGAGACCTGAATTCTGAGGAGGCAGCCTTTAGAAGCGGGGGAAGCATGAAGAAGAGGAAGGCTAGGCCAGAAGGGAAAGTATCTGCTCAGTGCTGGGAGGCCCACTGGAGGGACAAGGGGAGGGGTGGAGGTGAACTCAGGCTTAGATTTATGTGCAATGGCCAGTCTGGATTTTGTCCTGGTGAGTTTCCAGGGGGAAAGATGAGATTTGATTTATGTTTTTCAAGGTCCAGTGGCCAGTATGGAAAGGCAGCTGGCCTGTCACAAGAGTGGAGAAGGGAGGCCGCTTAGACGACCAAGATAGAGGGGGTCCCATTTGGGATGAGACTTGGAGAGGGGAAAGGAAGGACTCAGGATGGTGCCCAGGCTTCAGCCCAATGCTGGAGGTTGGGGTCCAGGTGGTGAAATTGGAGTTGTCATGCTCCCCTTCCTCTATCCAGCCTGGGCCTGCATCCCACCCTGCAGTCCATCTCACGCTGCAGCCAGAAGCCAACAAGGGC